TCGGTGCCAAATGCAACAAGGAAACCATCAATGCGATCTGCCTTGTCTGTTAGTTGATTTGACTGTTTAACATCAGTCCAATTTATTGTCAGGTAGATAAATGGTTTCACGGTTTCGGCGTGGACATTAGGTTAGAGCTACTACCCTTTGCAAATATATAAGTCAGAGGTTCCTAACAGTTCACAGAAGCTTGGTTATATAGCAAACAGAATAACTTATTTCCATTGGATAAATATATTTAAATAAATTTTAAATTAACTAGGAAAAATAAAAAAAAACTGCAAAAAAAAGAAAATTAAAATTCTTAAAGTTTCTCATTCAAAAATTTTTAATTGCTTCGTTTTTGTAACGTTAATTTTTAAAAACAGTTCAGTAATTTGCTATAACAATTTCTATTAAAAATTACGAAATTTTAACGATACAGAATTCTATACAATCATACTCAAAAATATTCGAATCGTGATACGCGACGTTCTTTATAGTTGCAAATATATTCACGTTCGTATTTACAGTTACCGTTCCCAAATTTTACTCAGCCGTTATAAAATCTGCTTCACAACTGACTCAACACGCCATTTATTAAAATTCACTTTGCTAAAAAGTTTACTTAAATAACACGGTTAAACCGCGACACGCATGTAGTTTCACACTGTCACGTATATCAACAAGCGACTCTATCAATATGCAATTTTCAGTTTCACGATTTCCCATAGCTTTGACCATTCCGTATACGCGATTTACTCGATCCGATATATATACGCATTTGAACCACAAATCCTACCTTCGCGTACATCGCCACCATACGTATCCGCGAAAACAACGGCAACGTTGCACGTAACTCGATACCGCGATCACCAGCGGCCTTGATGCCCGAACAAAACCGATATTAGCCGAAATCGGCTGAACGCCGCTCGCTACGCGGTTCACGAACAGCTTCGAGTTTTAATCGTAATAACTGCGGTCTAGCAACGCGGTACATACGGCGCTATTGTTGGGTTTAAACTGACATTGGAGACAGAGAGTCGAGAATTATGGAACGTCTGATGTTTACAAACGAGCTGCGTTACAAACGCTGGGAAAGATAGTTTATCTATAGATGCCTTTGTTGTCATAGCAAATCGACGAATGGGAGGCTGGTCTGTTGGTTTATATCGTGCAATGGAGAATTTATAAACGATTGCTATATTGTTCTTCATTATTTACATGCGTCGCAACGTCAGATGTTTTCAAGCTTCTGTCAGGAATAACGGACTGTAATAAATTACAGGGACCAAACATTTGTTGCTTTGTTATAAGCAGAATATTTTTAGGTTAGGTTTGATTATGCTTTTTTCATTTATGAGGAACGTTGGATGTTTTATTAGCATTTTTATTATTTCTGATATGGCATTTGCCTGATAGTGATTGAGGCATTGGAATTTTATTCTGTAAATTAATATTTAAATATATATAATTAAAAATATTAATATATTTTTTTTTTAGCAAATAAAGGGGATACGATAATAAAATTCTAAGGAATTTGAAATTTTGTATATATGCGAGTATCGACGATACGCCGCTAGATGGCAGCTGCGTCAGGTGAAAAAAGGCGGGATTATCGTTCCAGAACTTTCGATCGATCTCTGTCGAAGAAGGTACGCTATATAAAAATAAAGAACACACTAATCTATTTCGTTAATCGATATATCTACATTAAAGATTATATTTCGTTCGCATTTGGTATTCTATTAATTTCTTATCCACGACCATAAAATTTCTCAGAAATATCGTTTGCGATAAAAATAACAGTTCAATTATAAGTTAAACATGAATGTAATTAACTAAAACGTGTGGTGACTGTTTTCAGAGGAAGCAGGAAACTACGACAAATCGCAGTTAGCAACTGGAATTGTACCGGTTACGTTCCAGGACTGATTGTACAGATTCTCGTTAACTCTGTCCTGCGTAAATTGTTTCCAGAAGTTGCCACATCAAGCGCTGCGCGGATTCGTGTCTCAGTCTGTCCCGAACTGTTTTCGCTACCACGATTAGCATGATTGAATTCGATCGAAGCGTCGGAACGAGATTACCTAAGACCCTTTTGTTGGGAAAGAACTCACAGAGGAGAATCAGATCTGAAATAACATGGTTCGAAGAGTGGAAGGAAGGTTGGTGCTTTTCATGTGAATGAAGAGTAGCTTTCAGTCAGCTTGTTCATAATGAAGGAATACGCTACAGCGCATGCTATTTAACCAAAGAAACCTTTATGTAATAGACTGCAAAGCGTTATTTCTGTCCATGCTACTTTGGAGATTGAAATTTGTATTTTATTTTAACCTGGAAATAAAATTTATATAAATTTTTATGATAGTTATATATTTTTATTAAGATGAAGTTAGGTAATCTACTAATAACCACTGAAATGTGTTCAACAGATATCTTTGTGAACAAAGGTGTATTATATAATAAAATTTATTCTGTGTTTAAATAGAATATATTTTAAAAAATTTCTTTCCTGCTTTAGAAATGAGAATAATCCTGGTCGTGAGACCCTCCAAGACTCATGATTGGTCTTTATTGGCTCCCAAGGTGTCTCGAAAACAACCAAGCAGGCACAGTTCCAAGGTTAGAAAAAAAATTCCTACAAGAAACTTCACTGTTAACTTCCAAGTGAGTGGTTCTCAAACTTTTTCAAAGTTACGGACCATTTTGGATTTTAGATTACAAAAAAAAAAAGATTCGTGAGGTACTAGAATTCCTAATCTATAAATTTAACAGAAAGAAAAGCATGCACAAATCTTTTATTAAAAGTCACATTTCGTGGTTGTATATTTTAAGAACTGATTGTAGTGTTCTGTCAAGTGATTTACAAGTTCTTATGACCGATCAAGAAATTTACGATCCCTTGTTTGAAAGCTTTGATGTTTGCACATTTGTATTATGTCAAATGCAGAAATACCTTCTTCCCTAAGATGGCTCCTTGCCAGAAGATATAAAACAATAGCTTCCTACGCCAATGTTATTCACTAATACCCTATTCCTCTCAATTTTCCTCGTAAATGTGATTAATTTAGTTAACTATACATAATATTATAGAGATATTAATAACCTACAATTTGTTATTCTGAAAATTCGGTAAAACCATTGTATAAATAAATCTATAAATATCCCTAACCTTTCTCTTTTCAAAACAAATATTTCTATTTCTAAGATTTTCCCATTATGTTATGTAACGTGTTAGACTCGTTAATAGAATTTAAAAATATTTTTCCAAGACTCTTTAACAACGATATAGAAATATTATATATAAATTAATATATAATTAATTTATTTCACTTTATCATTTAAAAATTTATGGATTTTTAGAATTTTTCCCAGTGGAGATTAACAGTCGTCTTTTCATTGCAATGGATTGACAACGAGAACACGTCTGAATAGATTTCAGTAGTTAGAATCTAACCGATCTGAAGTCGCGTGATTTGACCAGTATGAACAGGGCTAAGTTGCGAGTCGTTGCCGCGCTAGACGCTACTCGCGATGCCTCTCGCGGCGCGTTAATCGTGAGAAACGTCAGTGGCACTGCTATCGCCTAGTTCTTGTCAAAAGGAACAAAAAAAGAAAATTCGGTAGCTGGGACATTCTTCCAATCCCTCGGCAAGTAACCCATCATTTCAACGAAGGTTAAAGACGGCGATGGTGGCACACCACAGTGTGGATCGCCGCGATCATCGTCCAGTCCAGTTACGTTGACGTCTCGGTCTGGTAAATGTCCCTTAACCCCTCCACAAGAAAATTCCACGCCGGAGATTTTGCAAAGAAGGAAACGAATACTTAAGTCGATCAAAAATTATTTACTCCTCGTCTTGCTATGAAGCATTATAGCTACAGTAGTGCCCAATTTAGCGTCCGTAGTGTGGAGCGGGGAGATGACTTCCTGGAATTCAGTTGGTGGAAAGAGAAGGGATGGATGTGGTCCCACTCCTAGGAATTGGTGGGGATAGCTATGGCCGCCAAAGTGGGCGGAGCTTCGGACGCTAGAGCGAACAGTATCTGTAGTGTATAGCCCTTTAATGAACTGGACGATCTGATTTGTGAATCATAGAAACAGAAATTGTAAATTTTACTTTGCACCAATGAACTTCTTTTTAGTCGCTAGGAAAAGTGTGATTGATTATACTGATATGAATTTTTCGAATCGGGTAGTATATTTTTAGTGTCCTTGTATGATTTAGTATTTATCACTTAGTAGCATTTGTGCAATGCTTTTTCTTATTGAAATTAGAGTCTAGAAACAGAGATGCTTGATCAATAATTTTCCATATCTTGCAAAAATAATGTTACGATATAATAATGAAAGTAGCAAATAAGAAGTTTCATTAATTGGATATTAATTAAAATTTAGTTTCAATAGAAAGGAGTTCTACTCTTGATATATGATGCGCGCAGCGTCCACTGCGCAGCGTGGTCCAATATGGCGGCAATCTTGAATAGACATATAGTAGCGAATGATATATTATTAGGATTATAGTATTGATGATTTAATACTGACTATGATCTAAATACAGCAACTGACTGTTCACTATTCGAAATTAAAGTAGGAACAATTTTTCTTTGTATTACATTTGTAAAACAACTAGAATAAAATTTAATTTTGGTTTGTATATATTGAATGTATACACATCGTAAACCTGACATTCGATTGAATTGTTGCTATCAGGGGTATATCTCAAATAATTTTAAAATAAGAAATGACAAGTTACTAAACATTTCAACATCTAGTGAAATTTATTAAATTGTTATCATTTTTTAACAATAAAGTTAGCTATTATAATTTGTAAATATTATTACTATAATTACAGTAGGGTAAATATTAATGATTATAATAACAGTAAAATAAATATTAATAGAAATTAAATCTGAAATATTTTATAAGCATTTAGTCTATATGAAGAACCATACTTTTCAGCTAAAGTGGTGCTATTGGTGCGTTATTCGTCGTTACCCTCCCGAAATAACACGTCATGAATGTGCCGAGTTTTTCGGACCTCGGCGCAAACGCGAGAGATGTATTCACTACTGGCTACCATTATGGCAAAGGTCTCATCAAATTGGGTGCCACAGCGAGGTCTCTTGGCAAGTTGAAAATGGGCAGTAATATACAGTTGGAAACCGAAACGTCGAAGGTTATTTTCTAACATATCCGTCACTAAACTTTTAATAAGTAAAATCTTTAAGCAGTTTAAAAATATATATCTTTTTTTAATTAGAAAAGAAAAATACTGTGCTTGAGTTCAATCTAGACAAACGAAATATTTTCAGTACACAGTATATAGTATAACAGTATATAATTATGTTCGAGTAAGTGTGGGAAAGTTCAATATTGTCCATATGCAAAAGGTTAATAATTAAAATATATCAAACAATAATTTTACGTATAAAAATAAATCGAAAAAATATCGATAAATCGAATAATTTTTTTTATTTGAAGCTTCGTTTTCGAGAAAATCGAGGTTGAAAATTCATGGGGTAACTACTTTTGTAGAAAACTGTTTTTAATCGTGTTTACAAATATTTCTAATTGTAAATCGACAAGTGATACACTAACATAAAGAAATTACTATTTCCGATACTGGTACGATACAATTAAAATTTGTTTAAATCTACGTACACCCCTGAATTTTCAAACTCGTTTTTCTCGAAAACGAAGCTTCGTACAAAAAAATTTTATTCTTCCTTTTCGACTTATTTTTAGATGTAGAGTCACCCCCTATTCCCGTTTATCATTTATTATCTTGTAACCTAATAAATAAATAAATATAAATTAATTAAAATTATATAATATATGTCTAATGATCTAATAAATATATTACAACCAATAATAATATATTTATACATTAATTACAATGTAATTATATAATATATTACAATATTGTATAAATTAGCTGTTAATAATAGGTTATGGTTACTATATGTCGTTCATTTAGGATTTTCCAATTACAGATGATTGGGAACGTGTATGCTGTGTATAAAACGCACAATTATGGGAGCTTCGTACAAAAGTGGGTAGAGGATGGTACAATTACACTGGGGTTTCGTGAAACGGTAATGCCAGATGTTAGTACGAAATCGGACATCAGTTACAATCCAGGGACTGCTGCCAAAAAAGTAGAAGTCGGTGCCAAATGCAACAAGGAAACCATCAATGCGATCTGCCTTGTCTGTTAGTTGATTTGACTGTTTAACATCAGTCCAATTTATTGTCAGGTAGATAAATGGTTTCACGGTTTCGGCGTGGACATTAGGTTAGAGCTACTACCCTTTGCAAATATATAAGTCAGAGGTTCCTAACAGTTCACAGAAGCTTGGTTATATAGCAAACAGAATAACTTATTTCCATTGGATAAATATATTTAAATAAATTTTAAATTAACTAGGAAAAATAAAAAAAAACTGCAAAAAAAAGAAAATTAAAATTCTTAAAGTTTCTCATTCAAAAATTTTTAATTGCTTCGTTTTTGTAACGTTAATTTTTAAAAACAGTTCAGTAATTTGCTATAACAATTTCTATTAAAAATTACGAAATTTTAACGATACAGAATTCTATACAATCATACTCAAAAATATTCGAATCGTGATACGCGACGTTCTTTATAGTTGCAAATATATTCACGTTCGTATTTACAGTTACCGTTCCCAAATTTTACTCAGCCGTTATAAAATCTGCTTCACAACTGACTCAACACGCCATTTATTAAAATTCACTTTGCTAAAAAGTTTACTTAAATAACACGGTTAAACCGCGACACGCATGTAGTTTCACACTGTCACGTATATCAACAAGCGACTCTATCAATATGCAATTTTCAGTTTCACGATTTCCCATAGCTTTGACCATTCCGTATACGCGATTTACTCGATCCGATATATATACGCATTTGAACCACAAATCCTACCTTCGCGTACATCGCCACCATACGTATCCGCGAAAACAACGGCAACGTTGCACGTAACTCGATACCGCGATCACCAGCGGCCTTGATGCCCGAACAAAACCGATATTAGCCGAAATCGGCTGAACGCCGCTCGCTACGCGGTTCACGAACAGCTTCGAGTTTTAATCGTAATAACTGCGGTCTAGCAACGCGGTACATACGGCGCTATTGTTGGGTTTAAACTGACATTGGAGACAGAGAGTCGAGAATTATGGAACGTCTGATGTTTACAAACGAGCTGCGTTACAAACGCTGGGAAAGATAGTTTATCTATAGATGCCTTTGTTGTCATAGCAAATCGACGAATGGGAGGCTGGTCTGTTGGTTTATATCGTGCAATGGAGAATTTATAAACGATTGCTATATTGTTCTTCATTATTTACATGCGTCGCAACGTCAGATGTTTTCAAGCTTCTGTCAGGAATAACGGACTGTAATAAATTACAGGGACCAAACATTTGTTGCTTTGTTATAAGCAGAATATTTTTAGGTTAGGTTTGATTATGCTTTTTTCATTTATGAGGAACGTTGGATGTTTTATTAGCATTTTTATTATTTCTGATATGGCATTTGCCTGATAGTGATTGAGGCATTGGAATTTTATTCTGTAAATTAATATTTAAATATATATAATTAAAAACTTCATTAGTTTACCTGTATATTGTACCCATGTATATTTAAATATAATGCAGATTAATATTTAAATATATATTATTATATTATATTATATTACATATATTATAAATATGGATACAATAGACAGGTAAAGTAATGGAGTTTTTAATTATCATTGGAAAATCCAATTTTTCAGCTTATTTATATTTCAATAAGAATGAAATTACAGATGGTTGGAAAAAATATCAAGGCAAAAGGTTATGAATTTTCTCCTGGACTCTTTTAAAGATCTTATACTGAATTTAAAGAATTTTTAGAATGTGGGGAAGATTGAAGTTGTTTTGTGTGAATCAAAATCAATCTATTATTACCCATATGTATTTGCATTGGTTAATAAGTATATTTTAACTGATATACAGGATGTTCTGTTTATCTGGGACAGATATGTACATAACCTCGTCTACTGTTTTGCATCTTTTATAGAATATCAAGAGCCAAACGTTGTAAAATTGTTCCTTAAATATACTTCAAATTAACTGTTGTTGGCTACAAGTACCGTGATATTTTTAAATACGAATTTAAAAAATTCATCAGTTAATTAATAAGAGTATATATAATTTTCCTCAAATTAAAAGAGGAAATGTCTGAATTTTTAAAGCACCCCTATTTACAGAGCAAACGCATTATACAATGACATAATTCAAGACCGTTTCATAAAATATCGTTTCGCTTGGCTAGATTATGTGGAAAAAGATTTTGCGAATATCTCGGAAAGTAAGATTATGTGAACCGGAAAAAGTTTAACAAAATATTTCTACGATATATTCAAAGATCGTCGAAACACCGATCACGAGAATTCTGTTTATTCCTTCTGCATCTCATAGCTATACGAACGAGGTTCGATTGTAAATGCGAACAATACATTACAAACGTTTGTTCCAATACAACCTGCTAAGCGTTAAAATCCATTGTATTCGCAGCGAGCGACGTCACTTCGTACGTGAATATTTTGGGCTCTATAGTCACCGCAGTGAAGGGCCTCCTGATTGGTTACCAAGGTGGTTATAACTCACAAACGAAGCGAATGACGAATGACGTCGGGGTGGCTTTCAGTTATCAAGACGTCGGCTTTCACTTTCGATGCACCTCCATACCGTACGAGTACGGACTCTCGCTCTTGTACAAAGGTTAGAAATTTTCACATCTCTTTACGCGCACTACAAACACTATGATTAACAAAAGTCATTATATGCGACATTTGCACCCCTGAATTGAAACAGAATTACAAACTGAACCGTACGAGACTGTAAATTCTTGTCTCAAGGAAAATTAATGATATTGATATAGCACGCATCATGAACACGATCAATATGGTGGCGATCGATGCGCCGTTCGATATGCAAACGCGTCGTGCGTGCGCAGCGACATGTGGCACCTCTACCGACGGTAAAGTTAAACAGAAATGAAAGCTGCCATATTACTTAACTCTTTACACTCCAGTGGTCTGTAGTATTGATAATCAGTACTGCTGGTTATCTGGTTTTATTTTCTTCGATAAAGATGGAAAATAGAAGAAGGCTATCGTGAAAATAAATTTATATACGTGTATAATTTTCTTTTCGTTTGAAATTAAACCCTTTCTTACAGGAAGCTATTCCACTGAAAAATCAAGTTACTGATAAGTCGAGTTAAAAAATTCGCAGAGTGCGAAGGACTAATTTTAATAATTCAATTTAAATCGTTTCCCCAATTTTGCATAAAATTTTTTGCTTAAATTAATATTTAATTTAACTATCGAAGATTAATTAAATAATTTAAATTAAATGACGTTGCTAATAACAACGTAACTTCTTTTTCACACATAATTGATCAAAATATTAACGCAATTAAATAAGTAGATTTAATTATTTTATAACTAAATTCTTATTTAATTAAATTAATAAGAAATCTCATTGTTATCAATGAAAGGTAATATCATCAAATTTAACCCGTTGCACTCGATCTTCAGTCATCATTCAATAAAATTTCGAGAATCAATATTAATTGATACATTAAATTAAATAATTCTACGTGTTAATTATTACACCATTTTTTATTTACTGTTCCAAAGAATATCGTCAGTTTTATGGCGGGAAATCTTTGAATTTCTGTTCTTCTATAACGAAAAAATCGTCGAGTAGAAGGGGTTATCACAGATAAATTGATGAAATAAAAATACAAACTTTTTAAAATTCGTTTTTACACCAACCTCTATTCTCACTGATCCAAAATAATCATCCCAAATTCGAAAACTCGTGTCTTCGACAGTGGTATTTCTCGTAATATACGAGTCTCGTAAAGGAAAGGCGGATTGTTCCTTTCAAATTCGTTGGTTCCCGTTTGACCGACGAATGAGCATCACCCTTGCCCTGTTCTCGAACTTTAGTTCATGTACACGGCTTAAATATTGCGGATACTGGGCAAGCAGGAGGGTGAAACCCTCACAAAGGAGCCTGCTGTGAGAGGAAATTGAAAAGGGAGTTGCATTTCCATTTCGTGATGCATGGCGAACCTAACCTCGAAGAAAGGTGCATCAGTAAGTAGAACGTTCGAAACCATTTTTCAATTATTTTCTGCCCCGAGCTTGTCCCTGCCTCGATTCAGTCTGTCAAAGGGCTGAAAGTTTGGAATAAAAGAATAACCAGCGAGTTTGAACGAATTTAATTCTCAATGGAATATAACCTATATACCTTCGTCGTTTAATTTAATATCTACCTTATAGTTCCAAAGTGAAATATCCCTAGGTTTTATAAATCGAGGAGAATAACAATTAGTGACTTTTTCGATAGTGACTTTTTGTATACGATTATGGCAAGATTAATTTCGTTCATGAAACGGTAGTTAGGCGTGCGCCGCCATATTGTTTCACGTTTCGGGTAATTCGAAAGTTACTTGTACAATTACGTTTCTAAAATTTTATTCCATTTTCTAGTGACTTCCTTTTTCTTTTGTAATACCTTTAAGGGAAAATTGATTTCAAAGAGAGAAAATTTATTTCTTCGAACTATCTAGGGGACTTTTGTGATAAGACAATTTAAATTCACTCTTTCGAGGGTAACTTCGCTTGAACGGTTGCTAGAACCGATTAAACGGTAATACAAATTTCTAAACTTGCCTTCGATTATCGATTAGGTAGGACGATTATCGATTACGACGTAAGTTGCTAAGTGTACAAGTTGGCGTTGAAATTAACGAAACCTTAAAAGGGTATTGGTGTATTTTCTAGGGACTTTTTTTTAAGGAAACAATGATATATATTAGCACGCAGTTTTCGCACTCAGATTTATTTTTATTTAGAGAACATTTATAATTTCTTTTTAACGAAATTAATGAAAATTATGGAAATTATATAGCCATCAGGTAAATCATGTTTTTAAAAAACGAGCTCAAATAGCTGACGTGATTCCAGACTATCTGATTATTCGAAATGAAAAAACCAAAAAGCATCTTAATCAGTATAAATACGGCTACAGTACGAACCACTAAAAACAGCACAATTTCGAAAATTAAAAAACTGGCGACATTTTAAAGTTTATGTATTGATTTTCCTCATGATTTCGTCCTTTAGGGGATAAACAAAAATAGAAAAAAGCATCAGATTTTGAAATTCGTGGTGCACGGGATAAAAGTACATCCAGTGAAGATCTCCTCCAAATTTCAAGTCAATCGGTCAACCAAAACGCGAGCTATCCTGTCAGGCAGTTCGAAAAATATGGTTTCGAGAAAAACGCGTTTGAAGTTTTCGTTATCCATTATACGATGCCTGTACGCCGCACTTTAAACCCCTATAACTTCGCTAATTTTACGAATTTGAATTTTACACGAATATTTTCGAAAACATGCACTTTGAGAAAATGTAAAAAAAAAAATATCTATTTTTTTAAGCCGGATTTCAACAATATCCCTTTTAAAGTCGTTCATTCCGCAACGATGCTGCGCTCTATCGGCGGACGATTCGGCGAGTTTAATCGTTAAATATTGAAATTCATACCGTGTTTTGCCGGGCTAAGACGAAACAATAACATTAACTTCCTTGTTTGCTCGTGTTCCCGGAAGCTACGAGAGGAAGCGGGAAAATTCGATTTCTCTCGATTGCATTGTAATCCGTGCCAATATAACGGAAAAACATTATCCGGTTTCAATGTAAACACGGGGACAATTGCTTTATCCTTAAAGCGAATTTTTCTAGCGGATGGTAACAAGACTTAAGCTTCTTTAAACACTTCACCTCGGATCACGGGATTTTTCTGTATTTTCAATTTCACCAGCTGTCGTATGAATTATGGAATATTATAAGGAGAGTAAAGAGAGGAAATAAGAAATATCATGAAATGCTTTTACCAAGGAAATCAATTTTTGATATTCTGGTTTACCGAGCAAGTAAAATAATAATTTTCGACAAATTGAATTTTATTCATTGCAACATGAATCTCATATTGTAATTAGGCATCACGAAGAATGAAGAGGGAATTTATTATATTATATCATCTGTAATTTTAATTTTAATTTTAATTTCTTTTTCTTTTCAAATTTAATAATGTAAAGTGGTGACATAAAGCTAGAAGTGTTCACTTTTATTGCTATCATAGCAAGGTATGTCATGTCATTTATACTTTGGTATAAGAAATTAATATTTAATTAATAATAATAAATTAATAATTTGGTGTAGGAAAATTGGAAGTCAGAAATGTTCCATATTTCCTATTTTGGTTTTGTGTTTCTTAGTTTTCCTTGTTGTTAAAGTTAAAATGATGATGAAAGTTAAGGAAGATTGTTCAATATTTCTCTGAAGGGTGTGGGAGGAGTAAATTCAAAAATGTTGATGAAAGAAATTTAAAATACATGTATGTTACCTAACCTAAACCTACACCAAACCCACAGAAAGGTATTGTCACAAGCTAAGTATCTCTGCAAGAGAAGATATGCACTATACAATAACTGTAATTATACTCTGACTACAGTATACTATAGTATAATCAAATTATGTTATTGTATAACTATAATATAGTATATATTATCAACATGACTATTATCTGCTATGACTATGACTATATTGTATTATTGTATATCAATAGTATAGTATATTATTTACATGACTATTATCTATTATTATCTGACAGTATTATCTGTCATGACTATGACTATAATATATTATTGTATATCTATAGTATAGTATATTTTTTACATGACTATTATCTATTATTATTTGATTATTATCTGACAGTATTATCAGCCATGAAAATGACTATATTATATTATTGTATATCTATAGTACAGTATATTATTTACATGACTATCATCTGTTATTATCTGACTATTATCTGATAGTATTATCTACCATGACTATGACTCTACTATGTTATTGTATAACTATAGTATAGTATATTACCTACATAACTATTATCTGACAGTATTATCTGCCATAACTAACTATATCATGTTATAGTATGTTATAGCATGCACCAAATCTACAATTTTAAATTAAAACACTAGGTTTTGTTACTATAGAGTGGTAAATAACAATGTTTAATAGTACTTGACGTAATAAGCCGGCCCATTACTCAGAAATAATTCGAAATTAAAGTATATGACAACCACTGAAGACAACTCAGTAGTAACCCTAACCTCAACGCCAAACTTAACCACTTAGGTCAAAAGAAATTTGTTCCAACAAGTGCGTGATATACTTCAACTAACTCTGAATTGCTTCCGAGTAGTATAGGTAACTAAATTTACCTAGTTAGATCCGGTATTGACAGATTTCGGGGCTTCCCGGTAACAAAGTTTATTACTATTTTCTCCAGTGACTAGATTTACTTGGAAACGGGTCTTAATAGTGATGAGGTTTGTTAATGCTTGTTCTAACAGATCAAAAGGAGTATGGATTAGAGGAATTATATAGAATATTGATGCTGGCAAATATATTTGGTTATTTACAGAAATAACTAGATTAAACTAGAACGGTCGCAGGGCTCTGATATATCTAGTTGTAATTAGTTTGATTGGATATCGAGGATAACATGTATATACAAATATAGATAACTCGCGAATCGAATTGGATTTTGAAAAAATAATACTGTAATAAAAATACTAGCATAATTAGAAAATTACAAATTTTCGTTTGGGATTATTAAATGTTCCATTGAAT